GCCTTTTTCCTAAAAAGATATATCATATAATGTTTTAATAAATCAGGACATATCACTTTAGACCATGGTAACACAATGAGTAGGTCTGACACAACTGAGGGGCAGTTCTGGCAGAGTAAGCAGGGGGGGAAACAAATGACTGGGAAAAGGAGAGCATGAACCTATATGATTAAAGTGCTACCAAAGGAATAAAAGGATGGAGGCACAGTGTTACAATTCATCTTAGTTTCCCATGAGATAACTTATGTGTAGTTATGCTGGAGTTTAGGTGAATACACAAGGACTGTATCTTTGATTTACAGTCATATACCCATGTGTGAAGTTGCTGGGCATGACACAACTTCTATTCATAATGAGTAAGGAAGCAATTAAATGCTCATGTGTCTAATAGGTGTAATAGTAAAAGACACCTCAGAAATCTCATGCCAAAGTCAGAAGATGAGATAGGGCTTGTAGTCTAAAAGGCATTTTTTGACATCAAAATACAGGCCATCACTGAGTAGGGTTGGTGGAGATGGGACATAAATAGTGAGAAGCACACAGGGAAAGGAGCAGAAAATGAAGAAGGTAAAAAAGAAAGTAGCTGGTAGAGTAGACCAAAGAAAAAGTGAAGGGAGAGAGATTCTGGGTGTTGTATAATCTGGAAATAAGCTTGGAATGGAGAACAAAGAAACTACGCCAGTAAATAAACAGGGCTGCAACAAAGAACCACTGTCTCTGATAATGGTCTCTTCCAGCCTGGAAGAGCACACTAGAGCAGAGTCCCCACGAGTTTCCATCATCTGCTGCATTCTCTTGCTAAATCGCAGCGAGCTGCTGCTGCAGAGGGAGTGCCCAGGAGATGGCAGCCTTGGATATAGCAAAACAAGTCACCAGCCTACAGTTAACTATGGAACTTTGTAGCTGTACGTTCTTGATGAAATGTTGGCACTATTGGGTTCACGTGGAAAATCCTTGTGAAAGAGTTAATTTGTCTGAGCTACCCACATTGATATGGAAGTGTTTCACTGGGACTTATGGTCCATTACTCTCAGAAGAAAAACAGGCTGTTTTAAGAATATTGAACTCGCTAAAAATAATCAACCCCTTCAGAACACTGAAAAGGTGCATGCTAGCAGGTTTTGAAGACACAAGCAGCTTCTGCAACAAGGAAATCTTTTTTCTTTATGTCAGTAGTGAGCATAATAATCAGTGATAAGTTAAAGTGTAGCAAGGAAACATTTTCTAGTATAAGGACAGTGAATCATTATAATGGACTGCCCAGGGAGACTGTAGGATCTTCAGGAATGAGAGGTCTTTGTAACTTCACACATGAAATTTTTATACATATGGCAAGGTAAACACAGATGTAGTTGATTCTGCCATAGAACACAGGGCTGGAGTAAATTAATATCTGGTGATTGTTTATCTTTTTCTATGTTAATATTTGAAAAAGTCATTAAATTTAAACCAGGGTTTTGAAAAATAGAAAGCACTCAGAGGTGGTATACTGTATCTGTAACCACTTGAACCTGAGAAAGTTCAAATGTGCAGCAGAACTAAAACATTATGCTGGGAGAAAAAAGAATTGCAACTTCTTTAAGATACTCTGTCAATTTCCTGTCACAAAGACCATTAGGACTCTATTGAATATTTAGTAGCAGAGTGCTTATTCATGAGATGAAGGTATCAGTGAATGAGGCTATCTAACAACTTACCTAACTTAATAAATGTAAGACCAATTGAACAAACAAAACAAAGACAACAGGTATTAAAAAAACCAACCATCCAGCCCTAAACCAGACAGATTTTGTTGTGAAGTTACTAAGACAATGTATACTCTAAATTAGAAATTAATTCTGTTACTGTCCCTCCACTTTGATTTAATCACAGCCCATCCTGCTCATCTCTGCAAGGAAGCAAGCAACACTGACATTAGAGAAAAAAGGAGTATCAGAGTCTAGAGGAAACCACCTAGAACACCACCTCTTCAGCCTTACTGATAAAATGAAAGTTTCCACAGAAATCTTGAGGAAACAGGTTTATGTATTGTCATGCTATAACTTAATAGACGGTGGAAAAAAAAATAATTGTCAACTTAAGTTTTTACAAAAAAATACTAGTCCATTTGTACCTGATGAGGATGAATGCAGTAAACTTCATAAATACAAAGAAATATCAGGATTTTATTGGGAATTTACATCTCTCTATATTTATTCCTCAGATATTTGAATGCCCTCTCATGGAAATAAAAATACCTTCTGATTGTATTACCTTCATTTGGCATTTGGTTGTTCATTCACTTTACTCTGTTTAGAAGCTGTTTACAGCTTCCATGACATAGCACGCAAAATTCACTTTTGCTGAAGTCTTTTTGCCCATTTTGTGAGCTATTTCAGCTGCTTGTTGCACGGTAAGAAGCACGCTAGTAATTAACTGAGCAGTGCATTTCCGTTTTAATTTACACAGAAATAAGCACTTTCCCCGGTTGGGGGCGCATGCTTAAAGGAACAAACCCTGTCAGTAACCCTACAGACCAAGACCTCAAACAGATTTAAGAATCTCTTGCTTGTAGTTTGTATTCCGTTTGCCCTTTTTTTTGTGGAAAGTTTCCTAAGAAATAGGCGCAGATGGTAACAGAGTATTTTGCTTGTCTTCAGTCATGGTGGCCTCTAAGGAATGCTGAGGTCTACGCTATGCCAAATGGACACCAAAACCAGAGGCATGGAACTGGGACTCACAGCCCCAAGCTGCCAAGAAGTCGAGTAAATAATCTCACATTGCGCTTCATGCTACACTGTTTAGACCAATTCCAATATCTGAGTTAGCTCAAGTACCTCTGCAGTGTCAACATGCAGTCACAACTGCCCTCATTTGAGTCAATAAATAAACATCGATTATTTCCTTTTTCACATTAGTTCAGCAAAACTGGCAAATGTTTTAGGCTGACATCCTACATCTATGCTGGAGATTCATTCCATATCCATTCATCCACAATGTGAATATCTGCTCCAGAGAGCTGTTCCAACCCTACATTTCAACCACAAAGAGAAGCATGTGGAGCAATAAAGAATCAAGTGCTTCATGCATGTTAGCGCCTTCGCATGTTCTGCAGGGGCATCTTGGCAAGCAACAGCTTTCCTTGTTTATGGCTGCTTTCCGGATTATAAAAAAAAATCCCAACAACAACAAACAAAAAAACCCAACCCAAACAAACCCCCCCCCCCCCCAAACACACTCAACAGATGTATCAAATGGAAGTGGAAAGAAAAAATAGTAACAGTAACATTTTTCATTTAATTCTCCTGTAATCCTGCTAATACTCTCCTGAAGATGGGAAAATCCTTGATGACTAAATACAACACAATCCTGTTCCATAAGATTCTGTATTTCCCTTGCATGTGTCATTTTCTCTGATAAGGTCAAAATTACAGTACCCAGTGTAGACAGCTGTTAACTCCACTACATGTAGGAACTGCCATTGACATCCCTGGGAGCACTTTGCCTTCCACTAGATGAGCTCCATAGTTGGGTAAGAACAGTTTTAGAACTTGTATTTCATGCTAGAGCACACATTGATGTTAGATAAGGACAAAAATTAATGCTTTCTCAATCCTGCACAGGTTGAAGAACTTGTACATCTATAGACAGGTTCAACAGTTGGAGAGGAAAGGCATCTTCCTAGGTACATCCCTGTTACTGTGGGTGAAACTATCTCAAAGATAAAAGCACCTTTTTAGGTTCAACATGCCGCCATAATTCTTGCCTACCCAAAGTTTAAGATTTGTTATTTATTTGAAGCTGTAAATTAAAGTTTGGGATCCCTTTTATCAGTTCCACAGTACCTCCACATAACATGGCAAGAAGTATCAAGGGTCATTTATCATCTGATTTGTTACCCTTTCAGGTATAAAGGGAATATAAATAAGAAGAGAATTTGTCCCTGTATCACAATGCATCATTAAAGATGAAATGTCTTATATACAATACTTTTTCTTCTTGATCTCCCTTGTGTAAAAATATTAGCACTTCCTCTATTTTACGGATTAAAAACTGAGGCAAAAGATTAAGTCAGAAATATCCCCTCATCTAGGGCACCTAATGTGAAATGTATAGGACTGATTTTTTAAATCAGAAACTTCACATCCACTGTGCAGGCAACTGCTGTTTAAGTCGATGGGCTAACTGGTAGCAATAGATGACATTAGAGCTGCACAGGAAATTATTTCACTGGATTTCATGGAAAGGTCTTCTATTTGACAGAGTTAGGATTCCTTGTTTGGGTTTCATGTGGACCAGAAAAGAGAATTATAAGCAATTTCTGTATCTGTTAGACCATAACAGAGTTTGATTTGCTAAACTATGAATATAAGAAAATGGGGATTCTCATAAAAAGAGATAGAATAACATCTTCTCATTTTTACTGCATATTTAAATTCAACTAGTCCCATTCTTTAAACTTTAAATCAGGCAGGAAAAGTTTATGAGCAGAGGACCTCTTCAAAATTCTACAAATAACTAATTGTTATTATTTTTTTAACCAAGATATTAATTTAACTTCTATTTGACTCATATCCAAGTTGTCAGTCTGCAGTTCTGAAAAAATCTATTGTTTTTTTCAGTAATTGCTATACCAAAGGGGTAGGTAGGGAAAATGATCCTACAGACAACTCCTTCAATGAGAATAAATAGGTAAAATGTTTTCAGATTATGAATAGGCTTGTTCAGTTTGTATGTAGATACTGTATGTTTACAAAAGCATGACTCAAATTTCACTATGAAAATAAATCACAAAGAGTTATTTTTCATGTAGACAACATTGAGTATTTGCAGTTTCCTGACCAAGTGTATAATTTTGTTAGCAAGAAACAAGGAAAAACATGAAACTTTTTTTTATAACAAATTGTTACTTAATAGAGTAATTATTCTTCTATACAGTGAAAAAAAGTTGCTTGTTTCATTTCTAAGCCTAATTTATTTTATAGATAATTGTAGAACACTTCGAAAATAATTAGACATACCTTGTTTAGCTTTACAAAGTATTCCAGTCCAGCTTCCAAGGGATTAGTGTCACAGTTCATCTGTTAAAAAAAAAACAAATTTGCCATCCATACATGATGGAATATCATAGCTTTTGGGTTGGGGGGAATTTATTTAGTTACTCCATGCAGCCTTCTATTTAGTCCTAGGTGAGTATCTTCCACATTGTATATGTGCAACTTCCATTTGAATACACTATATGCTTCCTATACATGATTTCAATAGAATATCTACTATTATGCCTAATATAAAGTATAGATATGTATATCATTCATCTAAGTTTCAATATTCTAAGTAAACACACATTTCAGTCAGAAACAAGACTTTTCTTCAAAGTAGAATGGAACCTGCAGACGACTGAATAACTGAGGTATGCACATTAATTGCAACACAGCAGAATACCCTAGCTGAAGAGGAAAATAAAACACAAAGCCAGTTTTATTTACCACCTTCCAATTAGGTGTAGGGAGAATGATTTGTTAGGCAGCATTTGAAGGAAGAATGAAAAGAATTATCACTAGGCAAATGAAAAAGATCCCTAAATGCCCACCATTTCACCTTCCTGATTTCTTTCCTTTCCAAAGGAATTAGGAAAAATCGCAGGTGACCAGAAATTATACTGATTTTCCTCAAATTCTCTAGGCCCCCTGAGTAGTTCTATATTGCAAGAGAGCAAATTTGGCAGAAACTGGACAACGGGAAATGAAAAAGTTCCAAATACATAATGAAGCAAGAATAATTGGCCTCTCATGACATAGTTATGACAGAAATAAAATATTTTCAGAATCTATCAGCCAAATCTTTGATTTCAACATACTGAAGCCCAGCAAAACCCTCATAATTTTCTTATACACAAGAGGGAAAAACATTAGTGAATCAAAATGAGTGTCTCTTTGCCAGCAGTGCAATGGAGTATACTAGTTCCTTTTATTTAGAAAAGACACTGTTCAGAATTACAGCAGCTTTTCTTGCTCAAGTTAAATTTTATTTTCAACCTAAATTAAGAAACTGGAACAAATACTATAATCTGAGCTAGCTCTGACTAAAAGCTGCATAGTCATACTGAAATAAAGAAAATAAACAGAAAAAAAATAAAGAAATTGTATTTCCTGACCTCTGCCCCCCAGGCTCGGAAACCCTTTTCCAGCCTTAAAGCATTCAGAGCATATGTTCCGAAGTTGTCAATTCCCTCTTTTTGGCCAGCTTCCATGATTGCACTGTAAAGAGCTACAGAATCTTCTTTTCTATGGTAAAGCTCCCAGCCCAATTCACCTGTTAGACACAAAAGATTAACAGTTTCATCAGCTCAATAATGAAACAATCCTAATAAATGCAGTCCTATTCTTGGAAAAAGTGGGGATCAATGCTGTAAGTGTGAATTCACATTCCAGGATCAATTCTGCTGTCATATATCAAGTCTAATTCCCTGCAAGAACCACCAGATGATTTATGGCCTAGATCTTAAGCAATAGTATTATTATTCTAATTTAAACTGTTAACTGAAATCAGTGGGGCAGTGGGGGGAAAGGGAGGAGGATCAGAATAACTGGTAAGAAAAGGTCATGTAGTAAAGTCACAATGAGAGATGAAGCTTAAGAGCATTATAAACAGATGATGGCTTGGCAAGTGAACAGCAAATGTAACTGAATGTAAATAAGCATTAAACAAGTATATTGTATCATATTTAGTATAACAGAAAGAGGAGGACTTCAGCTGCTTCAAAATGGTCTGCATTCAGTCCATTGCGGTAGAGATAGACATAAAAATAAAAACTAACTGAGAAAAACAAATAGTCATCATTACAGTGTTACATTTTCAAGGCACTTGACAAACACTAATATACGGTAATCCAAAAACAATTCTTGACGTTGGTTTTGCAGCAAATACCACAGAGGTTATCAGAACTGGCCTTTTGTTCTGTAAAATAAATATTTGCACTGTAGGGTATTCTAGAGAAAAAGGTCTTGGAAAACTCAGCACAGACCCTGACCAGATCACATTTGAAAATCAATGTACTGCATTTCCTCACACATTTATATATCAAATGTGATGAACTTATTGCTTATGAATACATGATGAGATTTATTTTTCAACATAATTTCATTTACTGCCTCTTTCCATAATAGTCTGTTTTCTCTATTGCTTACCTGTATATGATATCCTAATGGCAGTAACAGCAATATCAGAAAGTTTCAAATGTCTAGACTGCAGAAACTTAAATGAACCATCACTCAGATCCTCACTTGTCAGCTTCTGGAGGATCTGTCGGGCATATGGACCTGCTACACCAAGTACTCCCATCTCATCTGTCATGTTTTCTATTTCAATTTTATATCCACCTCTTGTTACTTCCTCTTCTATCCATCTGCATGTAAAACACAACAGTGATGTTAATTTTTTTATGAAAGATAACTGATTTAGATAAAAATTTAAAAGGAATACTTTTTTTGTATACTTTGTTCATCTTTCCAGCAGCTCCCAGTCAGACACCTTCTCAAAACCAGTGGAAGTAAGTGCTATACTAGATAGTCAAATCCATCATTGACGTTAAATGGTGTTTTCTGGTGAGACACTGGTATAGGAACACAGGCATCTGGGATACAGCCAGGAAAGGAGAGAATTTAAATGGGTGGAACAGTATTTTCAAAATAAGAGAAAGAGTGATCTCATAAGGCTGAACACAGATTTGCCTTTGGATACAGAATGTGTTAATAAAATATCAACATACAAAAAGAGTAAGCAATAAACACAATGAACATAGAAATCCCCAAATAAACATCTCTCTCAACAAATATGTACAACCAGGCTTGTTCCTTCCTGAATACAGCATTTAAAGTATTGGCAGGAAGTTCAGTTTTGAGTTTTGATTTAATCAAAAACATTAGCTGGGTATTGTCTTTCAGGAAGCTCACAAAATAACTGAAAGGAGTATGTTTTAAAATCTTACAAAGTACTCCTTTTTAAGCAGTGTTAAAAGATCTCAGGCACAGGGGAGTATCAAACAGGACTGCTGAAATTCTATATAAGTCAATGCATTAGGTCTGGTTCTGCCGTTTGGTTCCTGAATGTGCCGACAGTCCTACTGATTCCCATGGGATTGTTATGACAGTACATTAGTCGTTGTGTGTTGGGGTAGCAAATTTCAGTCTTTTATGTGTTGATTCATTTTGAATAACTGATTTGTCAGCAATGTCCAGTAAGAAAAATTCTTTTTCTTAGTACACTTACAGCCACTTACAGCATTAGAAATATCACTTCCAATCTATGAAAATATGAGAATTCCAATCACTTCTCATCTATGAAAAACATTTTAATGAAGTCATCCTGCAACTGCTTCTACCTCCTTTCCTTCTGTTGTTTTGCTTTGTGACCCCAGAGCCCAAAGCAGAAGACATTATCACAGTATCAGAAAGACTGCACTACCAGTCTGTATTGGCCAGGTCAGTGCCTGTGGGGTCATCTATGTTTAAAGCCAATTTTCTTTTTTGCGTAAGAGAAAACATTAGAATGGAACAACCGTGCTGTGTTACATCATACAATGCCAAACACAAACAGGTTCAACCACAAAACAAGAACTACCTCCACTGAAGTATATTACATAACTACCAGTAAATTCTCCATCTTTTTAGACCAACATTAATCCAATATGCAACTGCTTATACTTCAGGATTAAACTCAACCAAGTTTCTAAGAAACCAAAATCAATAAATAAGTAGAATTCTCTTGAACCTAGCAAAAGGTTTGTTGAGTAATAATCAAGAATTTGGCACTTAGTAAAAAGATTTCCATATTAACGTGACTGTATAGCACTGTGTACTTACTGTATCAAAAATAAACTAACCTCAGATCATGGAGTTCTGACCCTGAGCCAGTTACAAGCATAAATTCTCCAGGATACAGTTGAGAGACTGTTAGCTCAGCATAAACTTTTCCTCTCGGTGTTAACATATGGCTTATATTTGTGGAACCCACCTACAGAGTAAAATTTGCAATTATTAAGAATGCAGAATAAAACCTTTGAATTCTTAAACATTATGAAATATATGGAAATACGTCTTTAGTTGAAAGAACAAAATTTTTTATATTTGTTATGCTATACCATAATAGGAGTTGACAGATATACAATTGGCCAAGATCAAGCTTTACAAGGGAAACATCACATTTTTCTTCACAGAAATAAATCAAAATTTTTGAAATGAGATAAATCAAGACGTTTATAAATATTTGTTAATTGTGTATTTCACAAGGTGTTCTTAAGCTACATTGATTTAAGAATGCATTTTCAATGCAAATTCAATCAATTTTAGTTTATTCTCTGATCACTGAAATAAAAAATTCTCTGTGTTATTGACATGAGTATTCTTTTTCAATCACGTGACTAAGGCTTTCAGATCCCTAAAGGATAACATTATTTTGTCCCTTACCTTAAAGAAAGAACTACTGAGCTGGCTTATGCTTTTGTGGCCCTGATTTATGTATGCTTTTATATTTTCTGTAGTTGCTGACTATGAATTTACATCTCTGTACATTTCAGTCAGGTTCTATATAGAAACATGATCTTTACAAGTAAAATTTCAAATAACAGTTACCTAGCTGTGACCATAAAACATATACACATTCATACAGATATCATCCACACAAACAGGTATATGAATAAGCCATAGCTGTTATGCTGGTCTGGTTCCAGAGGCAGAATTCAATCTCTTTTATTTCATTCTGCTGTTATAAGAACCTTGTCAATCACCCAGTCAGTGCTCAGATTCCAGTAAATGAACGGAAAAAGGAAAACTATTGCAAGTATTAACATTCTTTTGCAAGGTCATATTACATTAATACAGTTACTGGCATATTACAGGCACATAATTGAATTTTTGAATTTTGGTACCAAAATCAGACAGCTTGTCTGCATCATAAAATAATTCAGTGAAGTTACTGGAGACATACTTGTATCACAACTAGGTTAAGTCTGACTACCATCAGATTCAATCAACGGTTGTGAATGGTAGATTTTTACATAGACTCATAAACTGTTCTATTTTGCTCTCTACCTTTCTTTTCCCCCATAGCAACACTCATTAAACTCCATAGAAAGCACTCACTTTGTTCTCATAATTTCCTGTTTAATCTTGCCCACCCCCAATATATTTGGCCAGTGTTATCTATGCCCACTGATGACAGAGTTACCTTACCTCTACCCCAAGCCAGAAAGAAGATAAACTTTTAATCTATGTTCCTATCAAAAAAATAAAACAGTAAAAAATGACAACATGGCAATTCAGGTTCTTCTTTCTCTTAAACCTATACCTAAATTACCATTTACATTTACAGTTACCATTCTTGTGTACAGCCTTCCCATTCAGTTGCCTCTGTCCTCTGAAAAGTTATCTATCTTTGTATAGAGAGACTATAGTCTCAGGGTGCCTACTCTTT